TGTCATGGTGGTCTTATTCCTTGGAAGTGCGTATCCTTAAAGCCACATCAGAATCTTTGGTCTCAAATTTCAGAAATTATAGCTAATGGAATTCATAGAAAGCTTATAAATAATGAAAATCTTGCAAAATATGCAATAGGAAGAATAAGTGTCAAAATGAAGCATAAGAACAATGTGAAAGCTGGATATAGAATACAGTTTATGTTACTAGTATACTAGCATGGCTTATTTTATCAATGATCTAATGGCATTAAATGTTTTTTTATGCAAATTTCAACCATGAATCAACTAATTCTCTGGGAATCTCCATTTTCAGTTTAAAAGGAAAGAAAAAAAAAAAGCAAAGCTAAAGCTAGTAGCACTGGAACTCTGAGAAAAGGTGTCTGAGAATAGTCCGAAATCTCAGAGTTCTTAGGAGAAATTAAGAGAACTTCAAATCCATGACTTTTTAAACATTGATGTTCAAGACGCATGGTGTTTTTTGTTTGTGGGTTTTTCTTAATCTGAAACATGATTTCTGAGCACAGAGTTGGCAAAATGCAAAGTATTTTAGAACAAGACTGATTTTTGAAAGGGCTTTTCTATTTCACAGAGGAAGAAGCAAAAAGTTGAAATGTTCTGGGCAAGAGATTTTTTTTTTAGAGCATATTCAATCACATTAAAGGATAATTGCTGCTTCTTACTAGTAACTATGAACCACTTGGAGGAGCATCACTGCCTCTGGAATACACACTAAGTTCTGAAAATACTCAAACTCCAACACAGGGAGGACTTTTACCTCTAAGCACAGTCTTTTGCTTTTGCCTTCTAATACTTAGGTCCTGCTTCTTCCTTTAGAGTCTATGCAATATTATTGAATTTTGTAAAATAGAGTTCTCCAAAGTATGTGAAGTACCTTTCATACAGGAGAATGTTTTTTCCCAAGTGAAGTTCAGGTGCTGTAAAGCATGCAGTATAATTCTGCTTTGTGGATTCACACTTGGTTGAATGCTACAATACAACTATATTAGGTATTCTCAGTCATAGCTCTAAAATTTTATTTTCAAGGACTGGCTACATAGGCAGAGACTGTCCAAGGTTTATGTTAGCTTTAAGTTATTGGTAGTATCAAGGCAATTTTATTGCAGCCAAAAGAAAATTCAGTCTGCCCTGCTTCCACTGCTTACCTCACAGTGACTGTAACAAGTCACAGAAGGAATTACCATGCTGGAGAGGTACCTTCCACAGTGCAATGGCACCCCACACTTCTCTCTTTTGAGGTCTGAAAATCCTAATAATATTTTTGTTTCATTTATTTTATTTGCAAAACTGCTCTTGTTTTTTATAATATAAATTGATAACATGAAAATAGCTGTTAAACTAAATTTATGAAATTTTCATTTACCAGTCAGGTAAACCAAACAGGATAATTTTGCTGTTCCTAAAAGTCTAATCCTTTTAATGAATAGGTTTCTGTTTCAGACATCATTCTGGCATATATGCATCCTAATAGCATATTCCAGGCTCTGAAGTCTCCTTTTTTTTCCTCTTTTTTTCTCTTTTATTTTTATCTTCTGTCTGCCTTCATAAAATAATGAACATATTGTATTTGTTTTTAAATTGTATTTAGTCCAGGTAATTCATAGATTTATAAAAGACAGCTTAGAAAATAAGATACACAAAAAGATAGGGTTTTGTGATGCAAAAGAATACTTCCTTGAGTCTATACAGAAAGTTTCTTTCCCTCTTCAGAAGACTTAAATGAGTTTCATAAGTGTACATTTACCCTATACATTTAAACTACACTGACATTACAGAGTGTATAATAAGACTTAGTAAGCACAAGCATGACATTTTTAGTTTCTTATCTTATATAGTAGCAAACTAATAGTCCCGATGTTGGGAAGCTTGCTTGGAGACTGTTAGTCTCCTCCCAGTCTCCAGAAAATAGACAAACAGCTCCTGTATTGCACCTGTATTCCTCTTCCTCAATCACTGGAATTTAGTCATGTTCCCTTCTCTTGCTCTCCTGCCAGCCTTATGGCTCTGGCTAACAGTTTCAGCAGAAAGCTTCAACCCCAGAGCACACTCTGGCCAGATGGTGAGGGTGCTCTCCCTGTCTCCACCAATAAAGACATCATCACCAGAACTTTGGTCTTTTATGTCTTAATGCTCTGCAACAAGGCACTCAGGAACCCAAGGGAAAAGAAACATCTACAGAAACTCAAGGCCTGAGTTGCAGAGAGGGCACAAATTCAGACACACCAAGTATATTTGTGCAGCAAAAATCCCCTTGCTCTAACTAACAAGACTCGTCAGAAGTTAATGGAACCCCCTCCTCTGGCTTTCACACAGACTGTCTCAGGAGGTTTGGATCTTCCCCCGACATAGATTGCACTGATTGATTTTAAACCTGGATCTTGTGACTCAGATGGATGAGCATGTTTTATATGCTTTCACTGATTAAAACTCCTAATTTATTTTTTATCAATGCTCTCCTTTTTTATAATGTACAAAAACTATTAATAGCAATGATAAACAGCAATAATGTTTTTTTTATGAAACAAGCATTATACTCTTTTTTATGGCATTTCTGAGCCTCCATCCAACTTATGAAAACCTTTTGTATCTAAAGAATTTTGGGGTGGGAGTCTCAGAGCTTCACATCACATGCACTGCCTGAAGAATCATTTTGGTTTGTTCTAAATTGGTCACCAGGTAACCTGAACTTAAGGTAAGTTGACCGTAATTTTAAATTTATTTTTTTAAATTGTATTTACTTATTATTCTTTTGACTATAAGCTTGCTTACTGAGAGTGGAATTCACAAATGCTGAATTTGGGAAAGTGTTCCTTTCGTCAGATAGATACTGATCTAATGAGGTGGCAATGGCCAAAACATGGCTGCTTCCAGTTAACTTAATTCTGGACAAACTTCCACAGTGCCTTACTTAATAGATTGCAAATCATACAAGTCCAGGAAGATGTACCACAGTTCCTACTTTCATAAGCTATACAGAAGAGAAGAAAGAAGTACACTTCATTTATCCCATCTTTCACACATATCAATAAACAGTGAAGAAAATAGCCCAGATCAGTTTCTGCAATTTCCTTGTAATTGGGAGCAAACACCTGCACTCAGCTGCATATTAGCTTATCTGAGATAGAAAGAGGAGGAAAGGACCCTGTATTTTCTGCCAACCACCAGTGAAGGAGGAATGAAACATAATCATTTTGTGGAAGGAGGAGATAGATGCATTCCCTATCACCCACGTGTTAAGTACTGAATAGGTTGAACAGTCTCACATGGTAGGCCTTGCAAATATAATCTATTTAATTCCTGGTAATACTAAAGTTTCAAAATTTTTATTTCTAAAAAAGTAATGACTTAATAAAATCAGTTAATTTTGGACTATTGATTTTCATTTATTTTTGGGACCTTAGTTCTTAAATCTAAAATATCATGATTTAGTGTAGTTTTATAGGCGCAAATTCACAGAGCACAGATCTCATGCAAATATGTTAAAAATATGTTTTATTTTGCTCACAATACAATCAAAACTGAAGATACATCTAGATTGTGTTTAGTGTCTTGCCAAGCTATGTACCTGGCTACACATGAGCCTTCCCTATTATTCATCTGAAACCACCATAGAAAAGCCCAGTCAAGAGAATTTATGGGCTAATTCAGGCTGAAATTTGGAGAAAAGCATGTGTGGTATATTCATTAATCAATGAGAGTCATTTTTACAGTCTTGTTTTGTGCCAGATACTGAAATTAGATCTGTTAGGGGGAAATCTTCCAATTCATAAGGAGCCCTACTGAAATTGCTTAAGTTCAGCCAACAGATTTCACTCATACCCTTTCATCCCACAACTTCTGGAAAGCCACAACTGTCATCAGAAATAACTTGAATTTGTGAAATTCCATGTTACAAAGTCAGAGGTGTACATGTATTTAAACAGAACTAAAATGCAAATTTCATTTGTGCCTTCAAGTCAGTCTCTGAACAGGCATTTTTCAATCTGATTTGAATCTTACACTTCCTAAAGAGTGAGTATAAGGTATTATATTCTGTAGTAAAGCAAACAGAAAGTATAATAGGAAGGAGTCCTGCAGAGAACTATTAAAATGCCATGAATTTCATGAAAACCCTCTTTTGAAAGCTTGTGAGGAATTAATTTCTTTTCATCTATATGGCCACAAGTCAATAATAGAAATTTCAAAGTCGGTAACTTTGTAGATAATTGAAAATAACTACAGATAGATTTACTACCAAATAATATTTTAAAAATTAATTTGGCAAAAGTAATATAGATAATTTTGATTTCAGCTGATGACTGTGATGTAAATGTATTCACAGTATATAGAACTCGTAGTACCAGTTATTAAAGACTGATACTTGTCAGAGCTGCACTACAAAGAAAACACATACTTAACTGTAGATACAAATTAGTTCTAAATTTCTCTATAATAAAACCTGCTAAGTGTGCATCATTAACTTCAAACTTCACTGTTTTGCTCAATATTATCTAACTTGAAATTCTTCTACAACATGGAGTTCTCTCGGCCCTCAAATTAATTAGTTTGATCTCTACTTTTATTTTTAATCTTTCCTAAACCTTCTGGTAGCAGAAAATTGCTTGTGGAGAGCACAGAATTGAATAAAACAGCTGGACTAAACTAATGTGTTGGAGGGAGGAAAAAACATTTGCAATTTATTAATGTATTCAAAAGACTGTTACAAACTTTACAATTTAATTATTGGAAGATTATAGAACTGCTTCACTGCCTCTGTACTGTGTTAAATAAACTGTACGTGCAAGGAGTAATAAATGAAATTGTTAATTTCAGTGCATCCTTAGGGAATAGTAAGAGGGGGAGTTTACATTATTTAGAGCTCCAAATGGATTTGAGTTTATATACAGTAATAAATCTTAACTACATTGTTAATTAACCCTGCCTCAAGCCCCTTTTTGCCTTAGGAGTTGAAAGACACAGTGTCTGTTAGGATAACTCACCATTCATGTGCTTAAAGATGTTTAGGACTGGGAGAATTTGCCGATAATAGGGCACCAAGGCCTCCCCCACCATTTCAGCTGACACCACCAGGTGCTGGATGATTTTCAGTGTGGTGCAGAGGATCTGTCGGTTACGAAGGTTCAGTGCATCTGTGATGCAAAAATAACAACAGGCAGAAAGCAGAATTAATTTCTAAAATGTAGAGGGAGGGGGAGGAGTCCTCTAATGGACAAATTTAATTAAACTATACTCTGTTGGGAATTGTAAGTGGGCCTTTATTAGCTCAGCTTAGAAAGATCCCAAAGATGGATTGCAGTCCTGATGTTATAAAACACTGCCTTGTCTGATTGTTATTTGTTCCCACAATTTGTGCTGACTCTTCAGTAACCCAAAGAATGAAGCTCATTATTCCCTCACGCTGCCTGTATAATACTGGCATGGTCCAAACAAATGAAAAATAAATGTTCAGTAAGTACCACTTGGAGCCAATGGAACTATACACTGCAAGACAACCTGCAAAGGTTGACAACAGATGCATTCTAGTGCAACAATTGGTGTTTGTATGTTTGTACTCATTTATTTCATGACCATTTTATTCATTCAACTGACAATTCCTACTATTCTGAGAATCAGCACAATGAAGCAAATGTTTATAGAAAAAAAACCCCACAAACAAACCTTGTAGGCTTTTTTCAAAAGAAAAACATTCTAGGGGAAAAAAAAAGGTTTTGTCTAGCCTACTTAGATGTTTCTCTAAGCTTTCAGTGTCATGCTTCTAATCTTATGACACTAAGACATTTCATAAAAACTCCTTATTTCTTCTCTTTTAATTTTATTAAAAGCAAGTACTTTGCATTTTCTCTTGTAATTAAAAATGAGTCATGCTTGAAATATGTATATTTTTTTCCCTTGCAAAATCCATCTATTTATAACAGCATTTCTGAAATTATGCAGCTGGATAAATTTGTCAGCAGCTGTCAAATCTGGTATGGTCTTATATATTGGTCTAATACTCCAGTGTTCTGCCCACTTACATAGACTTCTACATCATTTCACCAGAACAGAACTGAGAAAGATAAGCTCATATTCATTACTATGTTTTAGGAACAGAGAAATATATAAATATGTGGTTTGAGATACCATAACAAAGTATAAGCATTTAGAAAAAAATTGTAGAAAAGAACACAACAAAATTTGAAGAGAAGTTATTAGCAACTTCTTCAAGAACTGCCTCTTCTAATGGAAATATTAGGATCAAACATATCTGTAATCATTGCAGAGGTGCTGGAACTAGATGATCTTGAAAGGCCCCTTGCAAACCATTCTATGATGCTACAATTCTATGGTTCAGTATTTCATGTGCTGAGTTTTATCAGTGCACAACAGGGATGCCATTTCATAGGGAATGAAGTAGTATTTTCACAAAGGAGCAATGTCAGTTTTTCTATCTCTTTAAGCAAATGTAGTGTACCCCACCTGTTTCTGCTGCTTATCACATGCCCGCTGAGTGTTAAAAATCAGAGCTATATCTCCAAACCAAGGGCAGGGCAGATTGGTTGTGTGAATGGACAGAAACAATTCTCAAAAATCAACTATTAAATATTTCATGCCTCTTGGCATGCTTGAGAACAACATATTGAACCTACTGTTAGAAAACAGAAAGCCCAAGATACTATTACATCTCACCCCAGTTAAAGGAGTACTCCTAAATAAAAATATAGACTGAATGCCATATTTCTTATTTTCTACAATAGTCCCTACTGTACTCAGCGGGCTGCACTTAATTTCATACTGTCTCTGAGCATAATAACGTGTGGACAGGAAGCCAAACAATGTAGGATGCTCACATTAAGTTCCAGAAAAGAGGCTGGCTATTCCAAATTATGCTTTTGTGGATAGATGTTCTAAGGCTGCTTTAGCAGAGAGACACCCAGATACAATTTTAAAGATTGGGTCCAAGTCTCAGGTAGGAAAATACTCAGTTAGAGAGAAACAGGCATTATTCATTTTTCATTATTTCATTATCTTAATTCATTATTTCATTTTCATGAAAGAGTGGTTGGAAGAGCAAATTTTGGGGTTCCAATGTATAGATTTATTCACTACTAAGTTGTCATACATATAAATAATAGCTACCTGAACTAATAGGGAAATTATCACTAACAGTGGTATTTTTCAGTACAATAGTTATGTCATGAATACAAACATAAATGAATATTTATATTCAATTTTTTGAATTATTACAAATTAGTAAAATTAATTACTCAAACACAAACAAGAATTAAGGGATATTAAAATTAATCATTGACAGAAACTACTGCTTCTTAATTTTTAACAAATTGTACCCTCTCCCAGGAATAGTACTTCTGTACTGTTGAAACCACCCCAGACTATGAGAAACCTTATTTCTAGGCATGCAGAGTACATCATATAAGTGGAAATGGCTGTCCAAATATTCCTAGGAAGAACTTTTGTATGGATCCCATCTGATGCTATAGACTTGTCTTTGTCCAAGTGGAGCAGCAGGTACCGGACCATTTCTCCTTGTATTATGGTGGGCTCATTCTGCTCCCCATCCCTATCTCCAGCTCAGGGGTATTCAGGATATTCTGAGAATAACTGGTCTTACAACTAAAGATGGAGGCAAAGAATGCAGTAAGTACCTCAGCCTTTTCCTCATCCTTTGTTATTATATTCCCCCCCCTCCCCCTACAACCAGTAAAAGATTGGATATTCTCCTTAGCCCTCCTTTTGCTTCTGATATAGTTATAGAAACAATTTTTATTATATTTTATGGCACTATACAGATTAAGTTTTACTTGGGTTTGGGACTTCTAATTTTCTCCCTGCATAACTTTATGACAACCTTCTAGTCTTCCTGAGCTGCCTGCCCTTTCTTCCAATGGCTGTAAACTCTTTTTATCCCCTGAATTCCAGATAAGTGTCTCAGTTCAGTCAGGCCCATCTGCTGACACATCTTTCAGCCCATGGGGACCGTTTGCTCCTGAACCTTTAAGATTTTCTCCTTTAAGAACAGCCAGCCTTCCTGGACCCCATGGCCCTTCAGGATTGCCTCCCAAGGGTCTCTGTCAAACATGCTCCTGAAGAGGCCAAAGTCTGCCCTCTCTAAGTCCAAGGCAGCAGTTCTGCTGACCTGTCTCCTTACTTCTCTGATAATTGAAAAGTCTAACATTACATGAACACTGTGCCCAAAATGGCCTTCAGCCACCAAATCATCCACATGGATCTTAATCCCCTACCTCTACCAAAACATAAGACTGAGGGACTTCACTGGCACTGTCCCTCAAAGAGTGGCATGCTGCACCCAGGCTCATCTCTAGTGAGCCATTTGATCCCTTTCCTCCCACAAATCTAATATAAAGCTCTTTCAATGAGCCCTGCTAACTCCTGTGCAAAGATCCTGTTTCCCTTCTGACACAGGTACCAGTAGGCCTCGTGCCATTTAAACCGATCCATGATCAAAAACCTCCAAATCCTACCAGTGACACCAGCCTCAGAGCCAGGTACTGATCTGCTGGCTCTTCCTATTTCTTTCCTTATCATTCTCTGCAACTGGAGGAGTAGAGGAGAGAACTACTTCCACTCTTCGTCCCTTAGCTAGTTGTCCCATAGCCTTGAAGTCTTGGTTGTCCTCAGACGTCTTGTTTGGACTTTATCACTGAATGCTTAAAAAATAAATAATGTATTATAATCTGAGGGCCATCTGAGGGTAGGAAGCTTTCTCTTCACATCTTTAAATACTGTGGGCACCAGGGAGGCATCAGACTTTCCCAAGAAGTGGGTCCAGTCTGCATATTGAACCTTCTGTTAGCTGCTGATAGGACCCTCCCATTAAAAGAACGAGTTGATTTTTTTATGAAAGCAGTTTTGATTCAGGGCACAGGCCCACTTAACCTTTCTGACATCTTCATGCAAGATGAACCATTATGCTTGTTGCTGTTTGCTACCACTTGCAGAGTCTTGTACCTACTGTATTAGGGCACCTGGGAAGCTGGGGCAGTCCTAGAGGAGATGCACTTGTCGTGCCAGCAAAGGAACTTGCCACAATTTCCCCCCATCGCTTGAGTCATTCTGTTTTCCTAGGTGGAGAAAGGACAGGGGACCTGTGTGTCTGCCTGTGTCTTCCCAGAGAAGACAGGGTACAATTTCAGTAGTCTTTCTCTCTCACTCTCCTCAATACACCTCAACCTACCCACCTCCTCCTGGAGCTCTGTCACTAAGCTAAATAATTCCTCTGGCTGGGTGCACCTCCCATAGCTGTGCTCACTGCTGCCTGGTACTGGTATAAGAGTGGGGCACACACTGCAGAGGTATGGCTGCAGATGGATATGCTAGAATCAAACAGACTGAGAATTTGAGCCTCAATCCCTTCAAATTGCAGAAATCGACAGTGTGTATTAGGAAAGCACTTGTAAATATCAAAAGGAAGATAATTATGACTACAGAACTGTCGTTATTATTTTTAAATATTTGGATGTGCAATGCATAGCAGTCAACCAGCTCCTGGCTTGATTATATTAGGCACTTTATAAAACGTTCAATTAGAGGCAGTCACTGCCCCAAAGATACACTACTTTTAAATATCTGTTGATCTTTTTAAAAATCTGGTAATTATTTTCTGTGTACTACCATCACTACAGACCATTCTCCCACATGAATAAAAGGAAGAAAATATTAATGCAGTATATGAAAAAAGTACATTCCAATACATTGGAAAATATCAGTGGTATCCAGAGGTTAACAGAAAATGAAGAAAGTACTAGTATGCTTACAAAGGAATACAGCAGACCATTTAGGAATCTTGGTACACTACAGCTACATAGACCAAATGAAGGAAAGATGCATAATATCCAAAGTATTCCAATTTAGAAAACATTCTAGGCTGTTGCCTCTTGGCATAGAAGTCTGCTGTAAGACATGGATCTTGACAACACGTGCAAAGTGCACAACTGGTTTGCTTCTCAGTTAAAGGCACCTTTCTGCTCCCTAAACGGTTTTGAGAGGATTTTCCTCTGTCATAGGTACATATTTCTCTTTGGTCATTTAGACTAGTATAACATTCTCTTAAGCAGCAAAAAACTCCAACCCAATGAATTGACTCTCTTACTTGGTAGTTTTGATGTTTTCCACTTTAATGGCACAAACTGAAAGATTTTATTTCTTTTCCAAACAAATATTTATCATAACTTGCTTAAATAAAAGTTTAACTATGATAGAAGCTTAATATCTAATTTTATAACTCAGTATGAGTTTGTTCTGTTTTTACCATTCCAAGCCAAAGTAAGAGATAATTATGAAACTTGAAAGCATATTTAAAACACCACAGTGCTGTTTATTGAAGCTTGTTAGCAATGAGACAATATAAGGTATCAATTCATTGACTTCAGTGAATGTTAATTCACCTTATTTTTAATTTCAGATAAATTTTATTGGCAATTCATGTAAATTGATGTAAATTTAGTGTTTCTTTTATTAATTTCCATTAAGAACAGAAACTTTCCTTAAGATATCTGCCACTTGTTTGCTTATCCATTTAGCTAGATGTATATATATAAATGTATATATAAAGTAATAGAAAGATTTTTTTTAAAACATTCAAATCTTTTTCTTGAGTAACACCTCTAACATCTCAAAGAAAAAAAAACCTAAAAGTTATATAAGTTGATATTTTTTATTTTTATGTGGTTGTTTGGAAAATCCTATATCAGTCCCAGATATTGTCTATAATAAAAGTCACAGTTCTCATCTGATATATGAGATTGATATATTCTATAAGCCAGGAAACATGACAGCATTTCTCCCAGTACACAGTGGATTTTTTCATGACAGTGTAGTTCCACTGAAGAGATCCAATCAGAACATTCTCTCCCAGACAGCACATTGACACCCTGAGCTTTACGGAATCAAATCAGTTTCCATAAATTTCTGTCTCTTCTCTAAATACTAACTTAAGATTTTGGTTGTTGTATTAAAAGTTATGTCGATAATTTAATTTTCTTCAATTTCTTTTTCAAATACACCTGTGAATCTATGCTTAGAAGCGCACCAACATTTTCCATTTTCTATTTAGGTCTCAGGACCAGACTTTAAAACCAATTTATTTGGCATTCATATCCCTCACCCAATTAGTAAATGAGGCAACAGTTTGAGAAAATTCTTTGCCTGAAGCAGAACAAGATACACAGAGTAGGTATCCTGTGAGGTAACAAGCACTCAGGATAAAAATGCTTGATTGTTGTGATCTACTTAATCTTATTGATCAAGGGCTTCTTTTAAATTCACAGAGTCAGGTTTAAAGAAGTCCTAACATGAGGTGTTCTCAAAATGCAATTGATTAAAGTGATATATACTTCCCTTACAAAATTTTGTCAAAAATCTTCAAAGTGCATAATACTTAACTACCTGTACTTGTATAATAGCATTATGCTAAACTTACAGAACAATAATGAAGTCTGTTATAAAACACAGCATTTCAATCAAGAGTGATTAAAAACCAGAATAAGAATCTTGTGTTCTGTACATTTTAGAAGTCCAGTAAGAGCCTGATCCAAATAACAATACAGATGTACAAAAATTTCTTTCTGTACAACTGAAAGAGTGATGTGTTACAGTGAAATGATGGGAAGGAGAAATAGGATGTAAGGCATGAAAACCTTATGCCAATTTTATCATGAAAGACTTTTTTTGTAAAGCCAAAGTCTAAAGAACAGAAAAGGCTAAGATCCATAAGTGAAACATTGAAGCTTGCAAGTAACATGATCTAGAAGAATATGGAAGAGAAAGTGGCTTTATTCAGCTCTAGCTGTGCTTCTAATTGTAGCATTTTACTACATCAGCTCCTATAAAGCTTGAATTCTATTAACATTTGTGGACCCAGTTTAATACAGTATAAAGAACACTTAGAAGAGAATCCCAAAAACCTGCTCATTGACTATGTCAGTCTACAGTTTCTATCCATTCCTAGATGTACATTCCTTCCTCTGTGCTAAGATACTAAAACTGTACTGAGTACCCACCCTCCTGATGAAAACAAGTCTGTAATCAATGAAATATGATGCCATTTACAAAAAAGGTGTGTGGAATCAAAGCACTCCTGGCATCTGCACTTTAAAACTTAATATAGCATTCTAAATGTGCTCTAGATACTTGAAGAATGTGGACAAGAAAAAAACGAAAATACAGTTTTCTTAGACTTTAAAAAGGTATTTTATAAGGTCTCTCACTGAACCACCATGGCTTCCATAAAATAAGTGATGACTTAGAGATAGAAATTGAGGGCAACAATAAATGATCACAGAGGAGGAGTATCAATATGCAGGAATCTGTGCTAAGGTTCATGTTTTTCACTTGATTCACAGTGATCTGGAAGAGATTTTACTGATGATAACAAAGATTTCTGATGATCTCAAGTTATTCCAGATAGGAATAACTTGATATAATAATAATTCCAAAGACAAGGACTGATTCTGAAGAACTGTAAAAGGACTTTACAGTACAGAACAACTGGGTGATAAAATTGCAGATGAAATTCATTACTAATAAATGTCAAATAGTAATACATTTATAAATTCTGGAAAGAATATCTCTAACTCCAGCTTTAAAAGTCAGAGGTGTAAATTGCAGATTTCGCTTTCTAAACATAGATGAGATTTATCTTTATTGAATAAGAAACACACTTTCCACTCACAGACAAGAGTAAACAGGAGTAATAAAGGATCTACTTCCTATAAAATTGGAAAATACCTGAAATGACCAGTTTTGAGCAGAAGAATCTAACTCAAACTTAATTGCAATTACTTGTACTGGTTGATGAAACCTGCAGTCAAAATGTTTTAGTATTTGAATTTCAAGGCAATTAAAAAAATAAAAAAATCTGAGACCTTTGCTTTCTTTAAAACCATTTAAAGTCTATAAAAGCACACTTGTTTCCTTTTATCTTTCAGTCTGTGATCTTAATAACCAGAACAGGTTCTCAAAAGCAACAGTCAGCCAGGAGGAAAATTACAATTACATTAGAGTTTTAACTTACTTTCTGTAGGTGATAGAAATCAACTTACATGATTTGAAGAAAGAAAATGACAACAGACCAGAAAAACATATTTATTCCATGAAAATATTGCAGCACTTTGTGAAAGGAAGAATTTAACAGTATTATATATTCCGAAACACAGTGAAGATATGTGAGAAATTTAACTGTGCTTAGAAGAACTGCTACCAACACATTCAACTTTACATATCTAAGTGCAAAAGTGACACTGATTTCACATTAAATGGGAATAAATTACACTGTAGTCTAAGGCAACATTTTACATGCAAATAGAATGAACAATAAGAAAACAGAAATCAGGTGCAAACAGAAGGTGAACAATAAGAAAACAGAAATCAGTTTTACTTGGAAATTTATTAAACATTAAAAAGGACTCTGTAGGTGACACTGAGGGAGGACTGCTCCATTCATTTCTCTAGATCTGACACAAAAATCTGTTTCCATGATGAAACATTTTTAACAAAGTTTAAAGTATCCTTGATTTATTGTATCACAGAAGTTATGTTTAGTGGCATGGTAAAAGCCTCAAAAAGGAAAACTTCAGTGTTCCTTAGGATGGAGATTATTCTTTTTGGACTCAATCAGAAGAACTGGTCTGCTGACTGGAACAATACTTCCTTCTAAGTTACAAGTGCAAAGATGTGAGCTTTTCTGGTTATTAGGCCTAAATTCAGACTGTCTACGTATGCGTTTTAGGATTCACAGCACAAAACAAAAGATTCTGGCAAGTGGCTGATCCAAGATACTTAAGTGTTTAATTTCACATTATTGTCTTCATTAGCAAAGCTATATGAAGATCTTCCTATTTATCATTTCTACTCATTCTCTCAAATGTCTGTGCAATGGACATTTGTGGCAGTGCATTTGTAAACTAGACCATTGAAATGATCTGACTTTAAAAGTAATGGCACTCTAAAAATATTTTGGATTTATTTTAGAGCATCTACATTGCCAACAAAGCAAATGTGAATGGTAGCATGCTCACTGCCTCTGAAAGGAGAGGTGCTTCCACAAACTGTGCTGCATGTCCCTGATGTTACTCATAGAAATAATAGACAATGGTGCAGAAACTTCTCTGTCCCTCAGTGTTTATGTCTGCACATGTGTCTCACGCAGAGAATATCAGGGAACCCTGAAGTCAGGAATCTGAGAATTGCAGAAACCTAATGAAAGCAAGGAAAAGGACTTACAGCTTTTCTGATCCATTCATTATAGGAAATGTAATATTAAAAGTAATAATTTTCCCCAAAAATTAGCATTATATCTTAAAATTTACTCACATTTGCAATAATCTTCATGTGATATTCAGGCTGTCATGTCTTACAGCTAAATAAGCAACTTTCAAAAAATTTACACTATATAAATACAATGTATGGATTTTTCTCCTACATGTTCACCTACTTTTTATTGGGATAATGAGCTGAGGAACAACAGGAAGAATCTTGTTTCCACCATGTTCCAGCATGTCATGGATTCCTTGACGAGCAAAAAACTCATATGGAAATTCCGTTTCACAAAGCCCATCAAAGAATAAAGGCAGAAAGTAATGATAGTCCAGATTTTCAATCTCTACCTGAAAATACAAAATAAATAAACATATAAATGCAATTTTTCAGTACTAATACAATGTGATCAGGCCAACAGATAATTCATGCCACCTACACAGGCATGTTTAGTAAATAATAATTCATTTTTTATCACTGCGGAATATATTGAATGCATATATATTGAAACAATATTGAAAATATTGTTTATGACAAGATATTAAAATACAGAAATATTGGACCTAAAGAAGAGAAGAAAAACTCTCCCATATACACTCCCATATATTTTCTCTTTTTCATAAGTCAGTACCAGATTCTTTTATTCTTGCTTACACATTTTACTTTGAAAGTTACTCATAGGAATCAAACCAGTCATTTTAAGAACAGTATTCTGCCTCTTTCAAAAAAATAGATATCATATCTTCACTTGGACACTCAAAACAACAAATAAGAGAAAGAAGCCTGTAAGCAACAAATATCTAGCACAGTACAAATATCAATATTTCTACATAATTCCCTAATTTGTTGAATACTGACCTAGTTTATTTCCTATTAATTTCAAGAGCAGATTTATAAATTCCATGGTTCTCTACTAAGAAGAAAAGGCAGAGAAATGATGTACCTATTTTTAATAGGAATTTCCTTCCAATCCTAAAATGCAAAGTATGCTAATCTTAACAAGCTATGGAGGGATTTTGCACACCAGTTTTCTTTCCTTTTTCTTGTTTTACCCATTAGGACTCTACCACAGACACTCAGGCTAGCCTGGGAGAATCAGAAGTTTGTTTATGGCCTGACAAAGCTCCGAATACAGGTGAGAAGTGACTCAACTGCAATGCATTTTCTCTGAAAAGGATATGATCATCCAAATCACTTGGAGACCAATCCATCTCTTTAAGAATATACTTCCATCTTTAAAACATAGGTTAGCTGCTACATGATTTTTCTAGTGAGGCTTGGCAGTATTCAGGTAAGATTCTTCACACCTAACAAGCTTTGTCACAAAAGCCAAACTGAAGCTCCAAATATCCTAGATAAAATGTGTCAGGTTAAGAAAAAAAAACCTCACACACTGATTTCAGAACAGAAATCACAGTCTCATTTCAACTGTGGAATTCTGAAATAAAGCAGGCAAGAACTGACCTTTACAATTCCTGGGTAAATCCCACAGTCAGGAAGTAGCACATAGACATTCTCTGAGGCCATGTTTCATTTTTCACCTTGTTTGACTCTGAGTAGATCTGAATCCTGATCTTGCACACCTTAGCTACTGACTTCAATCTTTCATGTTGAAACAGATCAATCCATGTAAATCAATATTAACTGGAATGAATACTTGAAAGTAAATATTGTGCATTTGCTGTGAGCATCTCACTATTGGCAGACATAATGCCAATGACATACTAACATAGCCTCACATGCACTGATTGTTAATCTCTTATAAGAGATAGAAAGGGCAATTGAGTAATACCTATTCACCGATGTGAATGAGATCAAGTCCCAGTACTGGATCATCCAGGAGAAGGAACAAAACAAACTCACATTCCCTGTTTCCTCAACATCATATATTGTTTACTTCTCTAATTTTTTTTGAATTGGCTTTTTGCTTCACAAGAAAAATTCAGATGCCTTCATAGTCATATTGAACTCAGGGAAATGGCCTCAAGTTGCTCCAGGTAAGGTTTAGATTAGATATTAGGAAAAATTTCTTCACAGAAAGGGTTGTAAAGCACTGGAACAGACTTTCCAAGAAAGTGATGGAGTTGCCAACCATGGAAGTGTTCAAAACATGTGTCACTATGGCATTTGAGGGTATCGTTTAGTGGTGAACATGGTGGTGGTGCTGTGTTGACCTTTGGACACTATGTTTTTTTCCAACCTTAATGATTCTATGATTATATAATTCTATGAATATGCCAGGGTCAATTTGTGAGAAATTTCAAAAATAACAAAATAATTAAGTAACAAAATTAAATTAATATTATGATTATTAGTAAGTAAAATAACAAGAATTAAAATATATTTAAATTCCTAAATTGATAGGGTTTATATTTCTTGAGGACATTCAGCATGCTACTGACAATACTCATTAAGACAATAAAAGAAGTCTGCTTGAAAAAAATCATTTACAAAAAAACAAGATCAAGAAGAAGCAATTTTTTCATGTTCTCTGTCAATAGGACAATAAAACTCTAATATCTCTTTTTAATGTTTAATTTGTAATCTATATTCTTTTGTTTTAAAAAATCAAGACCAAAACCTGTAAGAGAACTTGTTTCTGGCAAAAGCTTCAGATGTTAGAGAGAGACACAATTAGTAAACCGTCAGTTTTTTTGGTTTTTTTTTTTTGTAAATGGGAGGTGTTTCACAAGGCAAAACACCTTGCCACCCTGTCTTATTAAGATGGGGTTTAGAATGCATTCCTTATATGGATATTTGACAACTCTTTCAAACTCACAAAGCATTTCCACAGCGAAAAATATCTTCGATACACATCCACGTTAGGTTACTGGATCAAAATTTGCATCTATTTTGCTCCAAACACACATCTCATTTCTTTTCTCCCACTCTTCATGAATACCTCCCTAGCTGAAACTGCTCGTTATCTTCTCAAAGATTTGGTATTTCTGATACTCTGCAATTTTTTACCAGCTTTTTTTTTTTGTGCTTGAAATATGCTTTTTCTGTTTCAGATATGAAGAAAGCTTCTGTATTCAGAAGCTTGTCGATGTTTTTCAGCAATAATACCTGGTCAATAAAATATATTATACTTAATTATCAACTCTGTATTATGGTTGCACATTACATAGACATAGAAATAATATATCAACTTTAAGGTAAATATGACCTCAGGATTTAAAAAACCTCAAATTTTTACACACAGCACAAAATATTTATTAAGAGAAATCTTTTACAAAATAGACATATGACAAACTGTAGATTATAAAGTGTTTGCTTGTACTCCTCTATTAGTTTGAAATCCCTAAATGCCTGGCAATTCCCATGGCTCTGAAAACGATTTTGATTTCTAACTTATTTCTTGAAGTGTCAGCTGTCCAAGCACACAGACAATTTTTACTTAGCTTTTTTTGCTCTGTAATAACTCCCACAGTATGGAAGCCAGAAATATTTTGTCTTACATTCTACAGTGTGAAACCCTTTCCTTCTGTGTTTACTATTTCGCTTTTAAAAGTGGCTATTATACAGCTGTTCAGACAAAAATGTGATTTTTTCTGTTTACGCCTACAAAATCCTTTTGTTTTTTATATCCACACATAAAAAATGCTGATTAATGCTCAAATTCTTGGCAAAACTTGTCCACATCTGACAATAATGCTATTACTATGAATTTTAAGAATAAATCTCACAATAATTATGAACTTCTGTACTAGCAGTTTGTAAATTTTGCAGACATAGCCTCTGAATTTTCAGTAAATAGGCACTAATAAAAATTAATATATAATACATGATTAAATAACAAAAGCAACCATAGAATGAGTAAAATCTTCTGTTTCATGAAACTTCCAGGCTCCCTATATGTTCTAAAAGCTCTCTAGGTGAAAAACAGTTAATTAGTATTGCTTTATCATTACATAAAACTAATGTACAAGATGGGAGGAAACTAATCGCAGTATCACAGTCAATTTGTCCAGGAGAGAATCTATTCTTATGAAGCAGCCCATAGTGAGAGGCAAGTCTACTGAGACAAAGAAAAATTAGATAAAGATTCTAGATTGACAATAAAAAAATGAGATTTGTGGCTAATCTGCCTAATAGATGAAGAAAATGAACTATTTGAGAGAACTTAAGGTATAGAACTTTGACAATAATGGTATAATTTGTCTTCCTTAAAGAATTTTATTTCAAATAATCTACTAAACTATAAGACAAACCCGAGTTTTAGAAAGTAGTATTTAAGCCACATTATTTAATTTTCCATCTCATTTCACACAACTGATTACATAATACTGTGTCTTTGATCTGATTATCCAAAAACTGGATTTGATCTCCTAGAAATATGATATCTAACCGTGTATATACTCATTTAATGTCCTTGACTAAGGCATTAGAATTAAGTAAAGAAACTCTAGAATTGTTGGGTTGATAAGGACAAACAGGAGTTTTTGTAAGGCTCGTAAAGATTTTACAAGGATTCTTCAGTAAAATAATAGTTTCTCTTAATATTTACTTTCATGCCTGTTTTTTAGGTTAATGAAAAGAGAAAAACAGAAACATTTCTGAGCAGTCCCAGTTTTTAACTTCATTTCCACTTTTTCTTCCAATATTTCTTTCAACCTTTCTTTTTTTCCTTCCAATATCCTGTACAAATAGTCAAGATGAAGTCTGTGCATTTCACAATTTTTGATTTATTGCTTTTAATATATTTGAGGTATAATGGCATGTCAGTTTTAATCTTCACTATGGAGCAAGTAATGCTCACTAGTATTCCTAGACTTGCCTAGATAGATTTTTCAACACGGTAATTTTGCTAATGGTTCAAAACACAATTCCGCTGCTGCATTTATTTCCTGCAAGTTTTCTAGCAAGAAAATATTATCTTTTTAGTCTGCTGTATTTCACCTTCCAATAGGGTCATACTATGAAAATTTTCTATTGAAAGAGGTTTAGTCTAAGTTATCACCTGTATCTTATAAAAACAAAACAAAAGACAGTTGTGCCTATATTTTGCATTTTGCAATGAAATGCTAAAATATACTTATCTTAGAACAAATGGAAGATTATCGGAGTTGAAGAGAAACAGATCATGGAAAGGGACCTAACAAAAATCATTTAACTCAGTCAAACTGTATTTAGAACCTCTTTAACACATTCTGTATATACTTAACTTCCCACAAGAAGTTAAATAAAAGAAGAAAATATTTGCCTCCTATGGATAAATTAAGAGAAGCAATAAGAAATTTCATTGGAGTATTACTATACTGGCTATCTGAATTTAGCTTTGAAATAACTCCTCATGTAAAAATAAAACTCAAAACCTAAAACCCTAAAAATACAGAAATTTTAATAC